AAAGTATTATTAATACTTTGAATTGTCATTAAGACATCAGAAGTTTCTCTTTGAATATTTCTTAAATTTTATAAATATCTTTGAGTATTTTGAAAGCCCCATCAAAATAATAACAATATAAATCTAATTTATAATAAAGAATCAATTAAAATTTCTTAAATAAAAACCAATTAGATTCATAATAATTATTATTCTTTGTCAAATATTATCATTATGTGAAAGAAATATCATTATTATAGATAAATATTGAGCTCCTTATAATAATGATGCTAACAATATATACTTAAAAAGTATAAATCCAACTAAAATAATAACAATATTTAAAATTTTGGTGTCTTTAGTGAACATGAATTTTTGTGTTACACGTTGATCTTGTGATTTAATTGGTCATCATCGCTGACATAATCAAAAAATTAAACTTATTATCACTATCGTTATCGTTATTATTACATTTCCTTGCCAAAAATGTCTTCAACGTCTTCGAAACATTCTGCTTTTGGTGCTAATTCTCAAAAATCGCAAGACCCAAAATCTTTATATTGTTATGGATGTGAGCGGGAGAAGCCTATTCACTCCTTTTCGAAAACACAAGTAACGAAAGCGGTCTCCAACCTTCATAATCGTAAGTGAATCGTTAATTACTTGTCGAGTAAGAATTAGTGATTTTCACGAATTAATTCCTGCCTTCACTAAATGAAAGCTTACGCGCCTGGTGGGAAAACTCGCAAAAAGCATCATACAATGTGCAAATCGTGCACTCCACAACAGAACAATACGCTAACCTGCATGCTATGCACCAAAACCATGCCTTTGGATGATTTCGCTAAGGTATAAGAAATTCGTTTTATTCCCCGTGTTCGTTTTTGTGTTATCATGATGTTTTCCGTTTAATCTTAGGCGCAACGCAGGAACGCCGAAAAAGCTCGCTGTCTTAGTAAGTAAATGCAAATTGATACATTTTTTCTTCGTTTTATCTTACAAAAAATTCATTTACAATATAGAATGCATGGCAAAACGTAAAAAGTCCGACGAGGACGAGGATGATAGTGCTCCTGACACTGAAGATGACGACGAGGATGTCAATTACAATGAAACATGGGATGATATCTTGTAAATCAATCAATCAATCACTGAAAGAATGATTGATTCCACCCAGATACATACATACGCACACTCTTAGAGTCTAGGAGTGTCTGTTTTTTTTTTTCGTCTTTGGTGGTTTAGTTATCTTCATTTCTGATGATCAAATATGTGTGGATGTTTACTTACACTTGATAACACGGCTCTTTTCTTTTAAACCAAATAAGAAAATTATGTTTAATCAATAAATTATTCGATTTTTCTATGCGTAATGTTTTACATCTTATAAAAAGCATTATATTTGTTATTTATTTAGCGAAATGAAAATCCCACGTTTCCAACCATTTTCGGTTTAGCACACCGCTAACATCAAGTCCAGGAGTTCCGTATGTAAGCGGCGCAAAGAATATATAAAACACAGAAGCAATACCCAATAACGCAATACCAAACAATATGGTCATAACTCCGACACCGGCTGTCAATACGACACGTGTAATCTTTTTCTTTGTTGCCGATGCGGAGATTGGGTAATTTATGGAATTCACAAACATGAAATTGAATACTGCGGCTGCCAATAAGTAACTGCAGATAACCGCGGGCAAATAATGATGAAGGAAGAGGGATCGACCCATCAAGAAGAATGGGATATAGTGGAAAAACCAACCGATAAAAAAGAATCCCGCCGAATTGTAAAGGCGGTTACGCACAGCTTCATGATTATTATTATTTACAAAAATATATTAATATATTGTTATAGTGGTTTTGAAGCATGAAAATAAATTTATATTTTTACTCACGATCTATAATTGGGAGAATTCCTCTTCTTCTCGACACTGCATCAGCTGCTGTTACACCGACAAACACAGCTAAAGCTCCAACACCTATCCACCACGTGAATGGATTTCCCAAAAGATAAATTTGTTCTCGAGTGCTATCTTTGGTCCAAAATGAAATCCCTCGTACCAAAAATGGCCAATTGATTGGGCCAGTAGAGTAAGGATGAGGCTTTGTTAAACCAGAATTATGACTAATCATTAAACGTTGAAGCTCGACGAATTTTCTGAGGAATGCAAGTTCCCTTGTTGGTTTCTTCGGCTGCACATCTTCCGTTACTATCATTAGTAACAACTCGATATCGTTAATAACGTGATTTCTGTGATAAATTTTTTAGTTTCAATAATAAAATATACCATTTTTTCCTATAATCTCGTTTGCGAACCAATAATTACTCTTTTCAAGATTATTCTTATTCCCATTGACCTCTTGTTGCTTATAGGCCCAATCAGGTAAAGGAGCATCATGTGTCCATAATGCAACTTTCGTGTCATAATGGACTAGACGAAAATGACTGGCTTTAGTTCGCCATTTAGTATCCGGCTCTCCATTCACAATAAGGACTTGGAACATTGTTTCATTATAACGACTATCGTCATCAACAGAAATAGTAGTGAATTCTTGATTAGTTGGCATTAATGGTGAAGCCACATCGTGGGTTAAAAGATGAGACAGACTATTGACGTGCTCAAGAAGAATGTAGTCGCCATGTTTTATTACATCGTTTTCTGGTCGTTCTTGGTCGAAAAATGGAATTGCTGGCTTAACTCGCCAATAATTGTTACTATCTTCGTGTGGGTACCCGGTTATTTGCTGACCTTTTATTAATGAAAAAACAAATCATCTATTTATTATATCATCTTTTTCATATTCCTTATATAACTTTGATATCTCATAATCTCTGAGATCTATAATTATTGAACTATAGAATTGTTAGATTCTTATCATCATTATACCTTGACTACTAATACGACCATCATCATAACGAAGTGGATATTTGTCCAAATGAGAATGCAAAAACACCGAAGTATCCTTATGTTTGATAGTGATCGTATCATTGAATCGTATATCTAAGATAAAAAGTCATTATTATTATTTCCTGTTTGTCATTTAGAATATGTCGAATAATTTACCATGGCTTTGAAATGTCATAATATTTCCATGCAGGGTTTCCTGAAATTCGGGGCTCATGAAATCATCACCCGGGCCACTTGTGTTCAAAATGGCAAAATGAAGATAGAACCAAAATAAATAAATTGCTAACGGTGTGAAGATTAAGCCAATAGAACGGGCAAAAAAGTGTCTTCGAAATTGTCTCTGTAGCATAAAATCAATATCCATCAATTATGCTTAATATATAAATATACACGATTTCTAAATAATCGCTCACCATTGTTAGTCCACGTTGTATATCCAATAATTCCCATAAATCAACGAGAACAGCTACTCCAATAGTTGCAAATGTGAATAATCCCACCATCTTAACACTGGAAAATAAGTATTTCGCGTGTTTAATTATCACCTGACTTCTCAATATAGACATATTATAATTATCTACCTTGTGGTCAGAGAGAGCGAGACTCCAGTTACAACCAACCAAAACCACCAATCTAACGTAAATTCCCTTTATTCAGAATTTTTAGTGTTAGTAATTGTAAATGTTCACAAGAATGAAACAACACATTTACGTGATCGTTATGAAATACCTAAGACGAAGCTTGTAAAATCGAATATAAGAATAAAGAGTGCATAACATGAAGAAAACAAGCATAGCGTCAAGAAGGATCAAACGAGTCTGAGTAATCAATGCATTGTCTTTCAATATCGATTGAATCAGAGAGCGTCAACATAATAAATAATAAAATACCTAGATTGAAGATATATACACTTATCAAAAAAATATTTTCTTACCAAATAAGACTAATCCAGCAGCAAAAGCAGCTGTGATAATTGGATATCCTGATTCGATCATAATTAAGTAGGCAATTGGTACAAGCAACGCACCAAGTGTCGCAGGCAATATCCTTAGGCCAATATATGGAACATTATTTTTGATATAATCCTCGCCGATATTCTCGAAAAGATAATGTCCATCGTAGCCAAGAAGCCAACCAACTCCTGCAAACATAAGCTTAGCGAGGGGCGGATGGACATCAAAATAATATGTTCTTTGGAGATAATAGCTCGCAAATTTTCCGAAATGCACTTCATCAAACCTATATGTTCGGTAATATAGATGTTAATTCAACATGCGATTGAGATATTACGGTATTAAAAAGGTATATGCATATAATGCATATGTTTGACTTACACCACTTCTGCTGGATAACCTATATTCCAAAAGCGCGTTATAAAACTTGAAACGGTTAAAAAAAATAAAACCGCGTTTGATATTTGTTTATCTCTTCCTGGTGAGACAACAACCTATAAAAACCCCACTCGTTATTTTCAGCTCTGAAAGATGAAAGTAAAAAAGGTGCCACTTAAAAACAGGATTTAACTTTTTTTTTGGTTTCTTCATCCTCGTTTGGTGTTTTGCTTTCTTTCCTTTTTTCCTCGTGGATCGTCTTTTCGCCAACTTTTAATTTGTTATCTCCACCCTGCCTTTGGCGAACTTGTGACATATTTTAATTATAACAATAATATTATATTTTTTGCCAGAAAGTATGAAAAGTATCAAATATCGCGTTAAAACATTTTGTGATTATATGCGCGACGTGCGTAATATTTATTGGGTAGTATGAAACACGAGTCACCGGAAAAACCAAATATTTAGGCTGCTGCATAAAAAAATCATTAAATTATGCTAGCGCTAGGTATTTCGGAACGGCCTAGTCAAAAAGTCCGTTTTAGATTCTATATAAATAACGAATAACGTAATCAATCAAATAAATTCGCGTTACGAATTTCCTCGCAATCATGTCTGCTGAGCATATGGATTTAATTGAAGAGTTTTTAAATGTTGTTGCCTGCGATGAACAACAAGCTACCTTTTATCTAGAAGCAAACAAATGGGATTTACAAGTAATTATATAGTTATGTGAGAGAACATGGAAATTCCATTATTGAATTTTGGCTGCAAATAATGACATTGCTCGATTATTTAGTCTGCCTTGGGTCAATTCTTTGAAGATAACCCGGAAGTAGATGATCAAGATGTAACATCGTCTTCTGACCCTTTTCAAGTTCAAACTGCTGCAACTTCTGGTCCCAGCAGTATTCTTAACAAGGCTGAAGAACCTGGTTCGAACACTTCAAATTCGACTAGTTCAAAAAAACCTTCATTGCCTAGTAGCTCGTTAAAGAAACATGGGTATTACTTAAGTAAAACATGATCGGGATTTTGAATTTGCTTTAAAAAAATACTAAATCGATTGAATTACAGTGTCGCTACCTTGGGTGATTTAGGGAAAGATCCTGCCGAAGACGAGGATGACGAAGATGAACCAGAAAATTTGTTTGCTGGCGGGGAAAAATCGTGAGATTTTATCATTCTTTGTTTTTCAATTATTGATGACTTATTGACTTGATGATCTTGTGCTTTTTTATAGTGGAATTTTTATGCAGAATCCCGTTACAAAATCATCTAGCTCTTTAGTCGGAGATATATTGAAAAAAGCGGCCGAGTATGAAGAATTTTTATTTTCTAAACTGTAAAAAATTGGTAATACGAAAAATATATAGTTTCACAACGAATGACCTTATAATAGAGGTGGTCGTGGCCCCCAAGAAGAAGAGGATGCTCCCAAAAAACCTTCGCGGCCATTCTTCACTGGAACAGGTAATAAACCTTCTTTACATAGAAAATTCTTGATTTAACGTTAAGCATATATTAATTTTCCAAAAGGCTATAAGCTCGGTAGTGAAGAAGAACCATCAGAAGAAGTTCCCATTTCACCAACAGCACTTAATGAAATGGTTACTGAAGAACCGGTAGATACTTTTCATTTTTAATGTTTCAATAATTTGTAGCTTAAATTGAAAATAACTATATATCCCTTTAGGTCATTCGTCATTTGACATTCTGGAGAAATGGATTCAGCATTGAGGATGGTCCTTTGATGTCTTATGATGATCCGCAAAATAGTGAATTCCTTAAAGCAATAAATAGCGGGTATATATACTACTATGAATTTATTTATATATGGCAGAAAATTAGGTTTGCATCTTTGATAATGGTATTAATCTTTGTATAGTCGAGCACCATTATCACAATTAAATGTGAAACAAGGGCAACCAGTGGATATGCGAGTTGCACGAAAATTAGATGAAGATTATAAGCCTCCACCTAAAAAACCTGCCAAACCATTTTCCGGATCCGGTCATAGGCTTGGAAGGTAACTTAACCACAATCAAAGAGCCGATAGTACAGAATATTTATTCACTCAGAGCTCTAATTCTCTTATTCCATCAATTTATTTAGTCCTGTCGGATATATAATTTCGAGTCCGGAACCTTCAACTACATCTGCCTCCACAAGCACACCCCCAATAAGAACTCGACAGCTGGAAATTGACGAATCTCTGCCAGTAACTTCAATTCAGATCCGTATGGCCGATGGAACGAGGTATCACTTTAAAAACATCTTAAGATTTAAACGATAGAAACAAATAAGCTTACATAACTTAACTTCAAATCTATAGGATGGTGGCAAGATTCAATCACACTCATACTGTACGCGACATTAGAGAATTCATAAACGCGTAAGTATCTCTCAACAATAAATACATGGGTTACCATATTTTTATATCTAACCACTTTGTTTTTATTTAAAGTTCACGAGTAGGGGAAGTTAATCGTAATTACGTTCTTCAGACCACTTTTCCCACTAAAGATTTGACAGATGAAACGCTCACTTTGAAACAAGCGTCTCTCGTTAATTCTGTAATTGTTCAGCGATATACCTCGTGAAAGAATAAAAATCGGATAATGGTTATGAAATATTTATTTGACAGATAGTTTTTTTTTTTTTTTTCCGTATTAGACATTTTAATCTACTTAGTAATGCATCATGTAAATAAAAATTATTTACCATAGTGCTTTATTTCTCGTGTTACAATTCCGCTTTTAGCATAATTCACGAATTATCAATTGGAAACTGCGTAATCAAAATTTTTTGGTAGATCAGAAAAAATATTCCTATTTTAATGGAACACGGACACAGTGCTCGAGTTAGTTCTAAAGTCGGTAACAAAAGAAAGGTGAAGCAAACCACTGCAAAGCATTTAAAAAAGGCTAAAAAAATTGAAGAGCACGAGAGTGAAACAGAAACTGAACAACAAAAATACGAAAGCTCATCGAAAAAAGCTAAAAAAATTGAAGAGCACGAGAGTGAAACAGAAACTGAACAACAAAAATACGAAAGTTCATTGAAGAAAACCAAAAAAGAAGTTACAAGTGAGCGCGAGAGTGAGAGCGAAAAGGAACAAAATAAAACGCGAAAAATTCAACCGAACTTATCCAATGAAACTGAAGAGGTAGCGAAACAAAAGCGACATAAAAACCAATTGAAATCAACTATTGAAAATGGCGGTAGTAATTCCGAAATTCTCAAGGATAATGATAATAATGATATTGCATCGCAAGGTTGATTTCTCCGACATTAGTAAATGGCAAAGATTTGTTTCCTTTTTCTTTATGCTAAATATTATTTTGTACGAAAAGAAGGCACCTCGATAGCCACCACCGCCGAAGCATTCAGTTCTGAGTTTGAGACATTAGATGTTTCGGACGCAACAAAAAATGCCATCAAAGACATGGGGTTCACGGAAATGACTGAAGTTCAAGCAAGAACTATTCCCCCATTGATGGCAGGTCGAGATGTATTAGGTGCGGCAAAAACTGGTTCTGGCAAGACATTGGCATTTCTGATACCTGCAATAGAGATCTTGCACAAACTAAAATTTAAACCAAGAAATGGTAAGTGATTGATTTACTCTTGATATACGAAATTTTTTTGCTCATAATTGAATTCTCTAATAGGTACTGGTGTCATTGTTATCTCGCCGACCAGAGAATTGGCACTTCAGATTATGGGAGTAGCCAAAGACTTATTAAAATATCATCAGCAAACGTTTGGTATTGTGATGGGCGGTGCAAATCGACCTGCTGAAGCTCAAAAATTAAGTAAAGGTGTAAATCTTTTGATTGCTACTCCGGGACGACTCTTAGATCATCTACAGGTTAGAAATAGATCTATTCTTCATTTTTATATTTATTTTTGCCGTTCTTAATAAATAATTCGAATTATGAAAGAATACAAAAGGTTTCGTGTATAAAAATTTGAAAGCACTCGTAATTGATGAAGCTGATCGTATTTTGGAAATTGGATTCGAAGAAGAAATGAAACGAATTATTGATATTCTTCCAAAAGGTAATTGATTGAATTTATTAATTATCTTTCCTTTCTATCAAGTCTTAATTAGTTGCTTATATTTAATAGAGAACCGTCAATCTATGCTTTTCTCTGCCACACAAACCACCAAAGTTGAAGATCTGGCCCGAGTTTCGTTGAGACAAAATCCAATATATATTAATGTCGATCAACAAAAAGAAACTTCAACAGTAGATGGCCTTGTTCAAGGCTACGTAGTCTGTGATAGCGAGCAGAGATTCTTATTATTGTTCACCTTTTTGAAGAAAAATTTAGATAAAAAGCTCATCGTTTTCTTTTCAAGTTGTAAATCTGTTCAGTATCACGCGGAATTATTAAACTATATTGATGTCCCTGTTTTGGATTTACATGTAAGTTGGATTCATTTATCTCGTAATAATATCATGCAAATCCCCATTATTAAGATTCTGTTCTAAAAAAAAAAAAAGGGTAAACAAAAACAGACAAAACGCACACAAACTTTCTTTGAATTTATGAATGTGGAACGTGGAATTCTTTTGTGTACGGATGTCGCTGCACGTGGTTTGGATATTCCGGCTGTGGATTGGATTCTTCAGTATGATCCACCAGATGATCCACGTGATTATATTCATCGTGTAGGAAGAACTGCACGGGCGGGTGGTAAAGGTCGTAGCTTGCTGTTTCTGTTACCAAGCGAATTGGGATTCTTGCGATATCTTAAACACGCCAAAGTTCCACTAAATGAGTACGAATTTCCCGCAAACAAAATAGCTAATGTCCAATCACAGGTATGCCTCTTTTTTAGTAATCGATGCTATGGATAGAACATAACTGTCCTACCATTTACTTTTTTCCAAATTTTAATAACGTGTGAATTTTTCAGCTTGAAAAGCTAGTAGAAAAAAATTATTATCTTCACGAGTCTGCGCGCGCTGGATTCAAATCATATTTAATGGCGTACGCGTCTTACTCTCTAAAATCAATCTTCAACGTAAACAATCTGGATCTTGCAAAAGTCGGCAAATCTTTTGGATTCCAAGTACCTCCAAGAGTAAATGTTAGTATAGGGGCCGGTGGAAAAGCTCCAAAGGCTCAAAGACGTAATAATTTTGGAAGTGGATTCGATAATAGTAAATTAAAGGATGGTAAAAAACATTTTGTGAAGCAACGCAATAGCGCGTTCAAACAAAATAATAATGAATTACAGTGGAGTCGATAGTTTGCATCGGCGTTATCATGATGATGATTATTATTGTTGTTATTGATTATGATTATAATATTATACGTTTACCTTTCTTAAGTTATCTTTTCGCCAATTAAACCGTCATTATTACCATCACCTCAAACTCGAGCATTCGAAGAATTAAAGATGTTAATTAAATAACGTCTTCTCTTAAATTGTTATAAATATAACCACAGAATCAGCGAGCGATCCGAAAATATTAAAGAAAAAAAAATAGGGATAAAAGAAATGATACATATAATAATATATATATATTAAGCTCGGGTTAGATTTATTCGAGCAGGAAAATTTTATCTGTTCAAATGTCAAGTATGAGGATCGATTAAAAAATCAGGCACACGAACTAAATCTCTGAATAAGAGTATTCTCACATCACATGATAATTATCATTATTATTCCATTGCATAACTATCAGGTGTCCTAAATTGTCCCCGATTATTAGGGAATCGAGTTACATGAGGTGCTCCAGGTGCAGGTGGAAGTGAGATTTGATTGGTCATGCTAATTATTGGCATTACGGGTGCCATTGGAGCCATCTGTACTGGAACTGCAGATGGCATTGCAGCCATTTGAACATTAACTGCAGTTGGCATAGCAGTCATTTGGGTAGTTATTTGAACATTAGGAATAACCGTCACGGGTTGAACTACTCTGATTGTCCCGTTCATTATACCGTTATGTTGCATTGGATTATGATTTTGCTGAACTGTGTTAAGATTATGTTGTTGTAGGCCATTTGCTAATCCATTGGCATATCCATTAGATAGACCATTTGGTAATCCATTTTGCAGACCATTGGGATTATGTTGCATAATATTGTGATTGTGCTGTTGTAGGCCATTAGTTAATCCATTGGGATTATGCTGTATTTGATTGGATTGAATTGGATTAACCTGAATTGTATTATGCTGAATAGTGGTATATGTAAGATCCTGGAAATATGGATGCTCTAATGCATTTTTTGCTGTAATTCTTTCGTCTGGCTGATAGACCAACATCTTACTCAATAAATCCATTCCCGAAGACTCTATCATAGGTAAGTGGGTGGCCATATCCTGAGGGTTATAAGCTGGATATGGTTTATGAAAATCTTGATATTGTATCACACCTGGCCATGTTGATTCATTTGGCGTGCCCATTATACGAAATATTTTAATTAATTGATCGTCGTTGGTGGTCCCGGGGAATAACGGACGTCCAGTGTACATTTCTGCCATAATACAACCAGCCGACCATATATCAATTGAAGTTGAATATGATCTAGATCCAAGAAGTACGTCAGGAGAACGATACCAGAGGGTAACCACCTCATTCGAGAATGTGGAAACTGGGATACCAAAAGCACGAGCAAGTCCGAAATCGGCAAGTTTAAGATTCCCATTTTTATTAATGAGAAGATTTTGAGGTTTTAGATCACGATGAAGAACTCGATTTTCGTGACAGAAAGCGATTCCTTGTAGCATTTGATACATGAAGCTTTTTATCGTGTATGGATCCAAAGCCCCGTGATTTCCATGTGTGTCCATATATTTCTTTAAATCTTGATCCATATATTCAAACACCAGCATAAGTTTATTCTCGGTGTGAATCACGTCCTGAAGACGAACAATATGATTATGTTTCAATTCTTTCATTAACGATATTTCGCGTATAGCAGTGGATGGTGCACCTTCTTCCGAATCGAGATGGATCTCTTTCAGAGCAACGATCTCACCCGTCACTTTATTTTTACCCTTGTATACTGTTGCATAAGTGCCTTCCCCAAGTTTTTCTAATCGATGATACTTTTCTGATGCCATTTTTTCTTTTGTTAGAGATGTTTACACACGTGTTTCTTTTTGGCGCACACACTTTCTTATTGTTTATAACAAATGAAAGAAACTGGTAGAAAGTCGAAAGCAAAATTGAAACTTATGATCAAAGAACTGGTTTTCGAAAAAGAAAAAAGATATCAATTCAACATTTCGGTTCGAAATAGTATTAAAAGTCATCATGTTAGAAAGAGTGCACAAACCTCAAGACTGTTTGTTAGAAGGTAAATAGAAGGCAAAACAGCTAATTTTCTTGAAAGTGGTAGTTCGTCAATTGGCTTAACCCCAACTATGAAGTACTGTAACTTTGGTCGTTAAATGCTCTGACGTGGGAAGTGAGGGTTTGTTGAGAATGTCCGAGTATGAGAGTTATAATAGCAATAACAGTGATACTCACCTGCTCCTTTTTGTATGTCTCTTTGTTTATTTTGCTTTCTCCTTCTTTAGGTGGGAAACTAGTCACGTTACAGTAACTTGTCACATGGCTGAATTTCTGATCAACGTACGCGTGGGCTTTTTTACGTCAGACGCTTGGGCATTCCTATAATTTAGAAACAGGAATTGTTTGGTAAACAATATTTATTATAATAGCACTCTCAAAGAAAGCGGAAAATCGAGAAAAATGGAACGACTTCAACGTCTTTTTGGTGCAGCAGCAGCCGGACAAAGCTTGCAACCTGGTGTTGATACGCCCACTGTTGATAATGCGGAAATGGTTTACATATCTTCGCTGGCTTTGTTAAAGGTAACATCTGTTCTTTCGAATTTGTTTATCGGGTGAATGATCAGTTGAAATTAGGACTAATAATCATTATTTTTATTGAGTTAGATGTTGAAGCATGGTTTGCAAATTTTTTTGATTCATTCAAATATGATCTGAAACTTGATCTAAATCCATAATTTGAAATCAATTCAATGAAAAGGTCGAGCTGGTGTTCCCATGGAAGTAATGGGCCTGATGCTTGGTGAATTTGTTGATGACTATACAGTTCGAGTGATTGATGTGTTTGCCATGCCGCAAAGTGGTACCGGGGTATCCGTCGAGGCTGTTGATCCTGTCTTTCAAACAAAAATGTTGGACATGTTAAAGCAGACTGGGCGGTTTGTGTTTTAATTCTATTGATATTTTACGATTTTCCTGTGGATAAGCGATTGTTTTAAGTATTAATGTGATTTTAGACCTGAAATGGTTGTCGGTTGGTATCACTCTCATCCCGGTTTTGGTTGTTGGTTATCTAGTGTTGACATTAATACACAGCAGGTAAATCATTGCCCCTCTTTTCTAATTAATTTTTTAGATTATTCTAATGTAATCGCTCGATTTGAGTCAAATAGAGTTTTGAAGCATTAAATCAACGAGCAGTAGCCGTAGTCGTAGACCCAATACAATCAGTAAAAGGAAAAGTAGTAATTGACGCATTTCGTCTAATTAATCCACAAATGTTGATGCTGGGTCAAGAACCACGGCAAACTACCTCGAATATCGGGCATTTGAATAAACCGAGTATTCAAGTAAATATTTACCGATCTTTCTTATGTTTTTAACATGAATCGTGATGTTAATTAAATCTATGCTTCCATTTTATCAAAGGCATTAATTCATGGACTAAATCGTCACTACTATTCAATAGCAATCAATTATCGAAAGAACGAACTAGAACAAAAGATGTTACTGAATTTGCATAAAAAGAATTGGACACATGGTTTGACGTTGCCTAATTTTTCGGAGCACACAGAGCTGAACGAAAAGAGTGTTAAGGTGATTAAAAATTGTCACGATTATTAAATGCTGTAATCTGCTAATTCTTTTTTTTATGTTTCTAGGCGATGCTCACCTTAGCAGAAGCATACAATAAATCAGTCCAAGAAGAATCTACCATGACACCTGAACAATTGAAAACCCGTCATGTGGGTAAACAAGATCCAAAGCGTCACTTGGAAGAAAGTTTAGAAGACATGATGTCGAATAATATTGTCATGGCTCTTGGTACAATGATTGATTCTGTCAGTTTTTGAGAATCTCGATCTATTTTATTTATTATTGTTGTGATTAAATATTAATAATAGAAGGTTGCTGCTGTTGAATGAATTTGGAAAATTTTTGTATCTTATTTCTTGAAATTAACTATGGTGCGAGCAGTCTAAAAGACATCAAATACTTTGAACTGTAAAGAAATTTTAGTTTAAATATATAATTATTAAAATAAATACATTATTAAATAGTCTTTAATATAATCTATAATATTACGAGATTTTCAGCACCTAAATATCACGCAAAATTACAATTCTAATTGGCATTGCATATAATAACTAATTTGGAAATGATAAACCTTCAAAAAAATTCAGCAGTGGCGCAGCATTTGATATAGAAATCGGGGAATTATTGAATCCTGTGACGTAAACTATTAAACAAAACTGAAGAGAAAGTTGCGGCAAGTAAATAACGAATTATAATAGTAAATGAATTATCTATTCCGTTCAGTGTTTTTTTCTTCGATACTCGTTCTAGTTTTACTGGTGTTTTACAATGTGCTATGGTCAAAAAACGATATCACGTCTTACCTTCAAACTTCAACATACTCTTATAAGCCTAAAACTGTTGCGATAATTGGTTGTTTTTAATTTGCTACGATATTTTTCGTATCATGTATTTATAAACAAATATTAAATAATACGAATAATTCTTAGGCGCTGGAGCAGGTGGAACATCCGCTGCCTATTTTCTATCAGAAAAATTCGCCAACACTTCACTAGAAATCGAGGCCACGATCTTCGAACGTTCAAACTATGTGGGTGGTAGAAGTACTGTCGTGAAATTGGAGCGTGACGAACAAGAATACATTATCGAATTGGGTGCATCGATTTTCGTCGATGTTAACTATCATTTGGTGGATTCGGCGAAAAAATTTGGACTAGAATTTAATAGTAATGGTGTTCGATTTCCGGGGGCGAGGCTTGGTATGTGAGTAAGATTAGTAACTTTTTTTTTATTAATAGAATTATTTTGATTCTTTTTTATTGATCATTCATTTTTGGCGGAATAAATAAAGATGGGATGGAAAAGAATTTGTTTTTGAGCAATCTTCGTCCAAGTATTGGGATATTGTTAAAGTTTTTTGGAAATACGGATGGGCACCATATAAAGTATTCCATTTTATCAAAATGATTCCTATTTTGCCAAATAAAAATATAATCACACTATATGTTAATATTAATCCAGGTCCAAAACATGGTCAAAGAAACTATTTCCAAATTCCTGGAGATCTACAAATTTCAGGAACCATTCACTAGCATACAGTCAGCAGCCGAACGTCTAGAACTGACCACTGAACAACAACATACTGCCTACCACTACTTTAAAGACTTGAAACAAATAGATCCACTCTACCTAAGTCATTTTGTGGAGACAGCAACTCGCGTAAATTACGCAGCGAATCTCGACCAGATTCACACGTTGGGTGCGTTTATTTCTTTAGCACCAGAAGGCGCTAAAAGTATCAAGGGTGGAAATTATTTGTTGTTCGAGAACTGGGTCAAGCATTCGGGCGCGGTGCTGAATCTGGACACGACAGTCACGAAAGTTACAAAATTGGATTCCAAACATGAAAATAATGATGACGATATTCCCAAATATGAAGTTACTACTCAAAATGGGAAAAAACAGATTTTTGATGCGGTCATTTTAGCTGCACCTATTGTAAATTCTATTTTTTCGGTTATTGTGCAGCTACCTATTTATTAATTAACTCATCGATCGATCTATTCATAGCAATTCTCAAAAATCGACTTTGAAAATATAAACATTGATGATGTGAAAGAAATCCCGTATGTCACATTACACGTAACATTAATGGCCGGACACATGAATCCCGCCTACTTCAACCGCGAAAATGTCAATGATGTTCCTGCAATAGCACTCACTACGAATAGCGACCTTTGTGAGTTTAATAGTCTCGGCTGCCAATTCGAACTAAAAAATGGTGAAAGGGTATGCAAGATATTTTCACACCATGAAATGACTGACGAACTGCTCGACAAAATCTTCTTGAACCGTTCCTGGACACATTCTAAAGTGTGGAAATCTTATCCGTGGCTTTCCCCAAATCAAACATATCCGCCAATTGAGTTGGATCAGAATTTGTTTTACGTGAACAGCTTCGAACCATTTATTTCGGTATGTATTGATGAAAACTGATTGAAATTGATATTGGCAGGAAGTTAAGTTTGGGGTTTAATAACTAATGATCTTTGCTTCTTTGTTTTAGACTATGGAAACGGAAGCTGTTTCTAGTGAAAATATCGTCAACATATTGAAAAGGCGATGGGTCGAGCTTGCTGTTAAATCTAAATTATAATTACCTTTTATTATAATCATTAAATAATTAGCATAATTTATCAGTTTTAGAATTTTGATGTTTATTTGTCTTTTACTCATTCGAAAAAAAGTTTAATGACCTGGTTATTTTCATATCATTGACTGCCCAAGAAAAATAACATGCGCGCACTGAAAAAAAAATTTTCTGATGAAGAAGACTAATTTTTAAAAATCAATTTACATTTGCATATAATGACTATATGCTTTCTTTAGATATTTGATGAGGAAGGCGAAGATGATCTCGGCGAAGTGAAAAACACGTAGCTACTTATCATGATTGCGCACGCGGGTGCTACTTTTCCGATACGTGGTACTGCGCCTAAAGAGAATAGAAAAAATTAATCATCAAGTTGGATATGAAATTTGACACTTGAATGATTTATTACCTCGCATCAACCCCGAAAATCCTTCCTCTTTCACCACATTCTGCATTATTCGTAACATTGAGTTGTTTTTTGCTGTTTTTTATAAGCGTAATATTTTAATTTATTAGTGACAAAATATGACGAACAGGAAAAATTTTGATGGTTCCTACCATTCGTATGCGATGCAACTTGTCTTCTCGTTTTTGCAACATCAAATGGAGTTGTTAGCGTTGCTGCAATCTTTGATTTTTCAGAAAAAAAGATGTAAGAAATCATTTTTCAAGCATAGAAATCGATAAAAAAAATTTCGCCCACCATTCCAGAAAGAGCACCACTAATAAACGCGACTTTAAACTCATGTAATTCTCCTCGTCCATCACCAACCATATAAGAACTATCACTTATATTTCGTTTGATCGATTCATAGCCAGTCCAATATATAGCTAATCAACAAATTTCCGATTAATCTCATCATCGTAAGCGACAAAGATTCCAAAAAATAATCTTAATTGTGATTTACCTGAAAATGGCACATCCCTCCATAGCGTAGGTCCCAATCCACGCCACAAAGACTTTATACCATACGACCGAACCATAGATTTGACACCGTTCATTACTACCCGTACACCATTTTTTCCTTCAGGTCCCTGTAGACGTGTTCGAAATAGTTCTATCGGAGATATGACAGCGACCGCCGTGGCTATAAAATTTGGTTGATTTAAGAATTAGGAATTCGAACTAAAACAAGCGTAATAATGTCTTAAACTTCTATTCCATCGCTATTTATCTATTAAAAAAAACTTACTTCTTGCACAAGCACCGGCAATTAATGGTGCATAAGTTTCTGCTTTCTTCCCTTTCCACCGGCTCCATATTGTATCACGTAGATGTTCATACCCCACAAAATATATAACTGTTGATGGTACTGACATGACACTAACGAAAACAATTAATAATTAAACATTGACTTAAGAATAAATAACAGAAAATTAATGTTAATGCGTATATTTACAGTGCAGGAGACAAGCCTCGCCATAGGGAAGTTATTCCTTCATAACGCACAATTTTTACAACTCCATCCTGTAATCGATATAATAATATTATTGATGTTTAAACTAAAAAATTCTGTATAATTCCATCTCAGTAAAAAATCTCACCAGAATCCCATTCAATTGTCTACTTGTAGCCCCGTACGCAGCCTCGAAAGCAGGGGTATCCATATACGCGCACGATAAAGACGACGATGCGGCTGACTGATTTGGAATTCGACAAATGAGATCTCGTTGTATATTGTGTGCGGTAAAGAAGACATTACGACAACATTTCGTGAGTGAAGAAGAGAAAGTAGGAGAAGATACAGATGCTGCTGCTCCAAAAATAGAAGTGGAAAATGATCTACTCGAGTTATTTTGAGATTGCAGTCGAGTTTTTATTACATCTAACGGTGTAGCTGTTAACAATATTATTATTAGTCACGATTTGTCATTGATTTCATTAAAATTCCAATCGAGTTTAAAATAAAGAGACAAACTTACTAAATATTGATGTTAGAATTGCGCCAGAACACGCTGCATACATTTTATGAAAAGGAATTTTGGAAGTAGATGATGGTTCCGAAAAAGGTGGAGATTGTCGTGAAATTTGAGCTTGTCCAATATTATTATTCATCGTGAATATTTGATCATTCAAGTTATTGTAGTGGTGGTGAAGGTTATAATTATGGCTGGTATTGTCAAGTTTGATACTATTAATATCATCGCGAAATGGATGATATTCTCCATTAAATCGGTCAGTGCTCATTAATATTTCTGCGTATTCCATTCCTTTGTTTGTTCTGTTTGTTTCCATTAGAAATTTGGTGGACTTTTCTGCCTGCAAATCCATTAAGAGAGGTTGATACTCGTTTATTTACCACAAGTTTTAAATTTTTGCATGCGTTATCATACAATTAATTCTTGCCTTTTATTTTACAAAGTCCAGGGTTCAAATTTTATAATCGATACTTGTAAATATAGTAAAGATAGTAAATATAGAAACACGGAGAAATCCGAAGGAAAAAGAAAAAATCTTTTGGACTGCTTGATCGATTATTATATTTATGCATGCACATCACATCAAAGTAAATAATGTAGTATACGATAAACTATATATGGAATATGGAATTCATTTTATCTGATTTTTCTGCATTCTGTATACACGTTTAAGTTTTGTTTGTTAATTATGCAAGTTTTATATTCTTAATAGCAAAAAAAAAAGAGTTATTATTCGCAATTTAAAGAAAATAACAATAAAAGAACAAGAAATTATAGTAAATTATTCTCTGTTCTAAATGCCCTATCATAACAATATCATAAATAATCTCGCTATGAAGTAAAACACATAATCAGTTATTTCCCTTTCTCATTATTTTAAGATAATTATAGATCAATTTTCTTAATCACGACGACGTCCCTTGTCTTTGCTGAAACTTTCCAACGACATGTAGGTTATCAAAGCGAGAACAACATCCACGAATGCCATATAAAGCATTTCGCTTGGCGCGTTGTTTAGGTATCGTAGTAAACCGATACCACTAAAGATTACTATGCGATTCATCACTTTATTTTACGTTTATTTGTAGATTAGTAATGTTATGATAATTGATGCAAGAAACTAATGAAGGTCTTTCCCTTAATCACCGTGGTACCTGAATTGGAAGCAAAGTTTTCATTGTTGGCGTTACCGGCGGTAATATGATAATGACCCAAGGAAACCTTTTTTTTAGAGAAATAAAAGAATCTTTTAAAATATGGTCAAAATCACGATGGTGCGTCAACAAATGACAAATACCAAGTAGACGCCGATAATTTTGTAAAGGGATTCTAATTGAGGTTTGTCCACGCCCAGAACAGGAATTCTCTATTAATTAGGAATGAAAAATAATTCGAATTCAATTTAAACGATAACGCAAACAATAATAAACTAACTACTTACCAAACCTTCAATAATACGATATGGTGTAAGCAAGAGCACAGCTCCCTCCACGATGTTAACCCCACCTTGGAATGAAGACAAGTTGGAAGGCTTAACCCAGTTTGTGATCCTTTCGAAAATACTCATTTTTTTTCAGTAAATAATTGTTATAGTAAGGGGTTGGATCAAAAGAAACACAACGATAAGAATAACAAAAAGAACCTATATTTATATATAATTACATATAAATATAATAAATCATCATTTAATCATTTCTCCGCGGCGTCAACTATGTAACTCATTTCATTCTCACAGCCTTACAAAATATGATATATTGTTATTGACTGAGAAAGTTGACGGTGGGAATGTGGGTATCGTAATTGAATATTCGTGACAATATTGTCTCACGCAATAAGGTATTGACGATAAATCTTCATTGTTTCATGATAAACTTTGTTTATTAATGCATTGTCTAGTTTGGTAGCCAGATGTTTGCGAATCTTCTTTTATAATCTCTCTTGTGTAATATATAGAAAACTCATCTTTCTCGGACGTGAATGCGTGCACATGTTTTTTCGAATTCTTCACCAATTCTGTTAAAGTATGTGCACATTATTCACAATGTTCCGCTGCCGGAAAATCTGGTCCGTAATACGGAACTGCAATAACAAATCTAAAGTTCCATGTGAGCTAGCTCATTTTGGCTCGTAATGTTTATAATAATCAAAAATTCTACATTCAAAGTCCTTTACAACGGCTGCATTGGATTGGCACTTTTGAGCCGGTACATAGTGCTTATATTATAAACTTCGGTATATAGGGAGTTTTTAAATAATCAAAAATCGTAAAAATCGGGACATCAATATGGTATAAGTCGAATCCGATGCATACATCGCCGTTGTAAAGAATTTTGACTGTAGCAAATATTTTTTTATAATTATTAATTTTTTCAAAAAATATAAAAATTATAAAAAATATAATTTCAAACTACAAATTAGTATTCCAATGAACCAGATTTTTGATAAGTTCAGGTTCAATTTCAAACTGAATTTTAGTAAGTTCAGTTTGAGTTTGAAATGCTTTTAATTGAAGTTGTAGATTTTGCTTTTAAGTAAAAAATAATAGAAGATAATTTAATATTCATGAAAATAAATAGCATTTATAATTGACATTTATAAATAATAAAATTTAAACATTTTTAATTTTGTCAAAATAAACTTTTATTTCTTATTATAATTAAATTCTTTTACAGTTATTCCTGTTATAATTATATTATATCAAAATCATTTTTTATTGAATTCAATAATGTATAAAATATATTATAACAATATAATTTTAATTAAAAAACAATGTATTTAAAATTAATAACATCTATAATAAATTGAATCAAATTGAATTTTGGAACTTTTAAATTGAAATTGAATTCAGTTTGAATTTGAGTTCAATTTTAGTTTGAGTTTAATTTGCAATATATAATATTATATAATTAACTCAATTATATTATTGAATCCAATAGTAATTTTTTTATTAATATGATTATAGTATATTTTTATTATAAATATAACTATAAAAATAATTTTATATATAATATAATTATAATAAAAATAATTATAAAGTAATTTAATTATATATTAATTTGTACTTGGAAATTAAATAATTGATTTTTTTTTATATGATTTTTTTGATATTTAATGATTTTAAAACTATTATAAAACCAATAAAATTGCACAAACTTTTAATCAATTTAGCAAATAAATCTAAGAAAATAAAAAATGTGAAAAACTAATATCTAAATCTAAATTAAACCAATAATTAAAAATTTTAGAAACAATTTTATGTTAATTCTAATTTTTACTTAATATCGATATATGAATACTTGTTATAGCTAGAAAAATCAGATGTAAAAGAAAAATGAAAATATAATTTTCTAATTAATAATAAATTTTGAAAGTAATATATTATTTTCTAAGTTACTAAGATTGTTGGTAGTGTTCAAGGACGTATGTTACTTGATGATTTTAATTCTATATCTTAAATATCAAAATAATGAATAATAGTAATTATGTTCTCTTGACAGCAAAAATAAATGATTTTCGGATATCTAATTTCCTGGTCTGCATGGTCGCAATAAAGGTTATTGTCAAGCAAGACCAAGCAAACTCCTGGAACCAATCAACATAAGGAGGATTTGTTAGATTCATCCGTGAAGGGCTTAATTAATATTACAAGTGAAACTTGTACGATTATCAGGTCAGACCAAGAATTTACTTAACTTTAATTTTTAAATAATATTACATGAAACCCAATGCTCTATAAATATGTGATTGTATCTTAACATAATAGACTCTCAGATGTTTCTTAGGGCCTTCAATCTAATATTTTAAATAAAATCATTCGTTAGAAAAGATTTCTAATATTATTGATTAAATGAATAATTGATATATAATATAAATAAAACACCTTTCTGTCAACTCTTCATCCTCTTTATTTCCTTTTTCCGCAGCGCCAAGAATAGTACTCGGTGCTGCTTCGCCGAGCTCATGATTGAGTTCTAGCCCATGTTCGTCGGCAACCTGTTGCATTAATAAATCTACTTCTTCTTGCGGGGTGCTCATTGCTGTTGTGTTTCCCATGGCACCTTCCATGTATTGTGTTTGAACATCGATATCTTCAAATTGAGATTCGAATTTATCCATCACCATAGAAATCTTAAAAAGTAATAAGTTTAATGATTACTTATTGATTATACGAGATTTAAAGATCGAGTGAATTATTATAAAAGAAATTTTCACCTTTTCAAGATTCATTGATTCCATTGCTTTATCCATGCCTTTTACTACATTTGCCATCGATCCTGTTACCTTATTGGCATAACTAAAAAAAGTTACGACACAAACTCTAATAATAATACTTCTCAAGGAGGAAAATTTTCACTTTTACCTTTTGCATTGTTACCGCAGTTTGAACGCGACTAGCGACAGCGTCAATTCTTGACGATAGTCTCAAAAGATTTAGTGATTCATTCTTTTTACGAATGGCATTTGCGGCGTATATACGTGCTCCTTCGAGGTTTCCTTGTTGAATGGCCTTTAATATTATGTTATTATCAATGATCAAATTAAATTCATAATCTTTTTATCTGTATCTTTTAGGTCCTGTATAAAAGTAGTAAATATAAAAGTTTAGAATCTAGCTTTTTTTTCTTCTTACTTTCTTCAGCTTTGCTTTTTCAGCACCTTCGTCTTTGCTCGCTTTTTTCGCTTGTCGAGATAATTGCTTTGCTGTAAACTAGTAAAGTGTAAATTCACGTAAATTGATTAACATAACGAAAACAAACTTAAAATTCTTGGGGTAAATTCATTGGAAATTAACTTACTTTAAGTTGAAATAAACTCTCTGGGTGAACAATTACAAGTTAAATAATGTAAAGACAAAATAAAAGTCATTGAAAATGCGAGAACTCGAGATTAAAAAGGATACTGTCGAGATTGCTCATTGTAAAAAATTCAACGTGCTATAACGATAGAACATATAAAGCTATATATAGATCAACATTACGTATTATGCAAGACAAGATCTTCAAAAAATATTGTTACTTTCGAAATGTCAAATCCCACAGAAAATAAAATAGTAGCCGAGGCGAAGAGTGAATCGTCTCTGGATAGTCGCGAAATACTCATTCTTTTTGGAAGCCAAACAGGATGTGCTCAAGATGTAGCCGAAAGAATAGGAAGAGAAGCAAAAAGACGTCTTTTCAAAATTCGTGTTTTTGCAATGGACGCTTATGATAAGGTAGATTTAACTTACCTGGGTACTTCAGATCATAGACTGGAGAATAAACTTTTTTTGAATCGATTTTCCAGCAAAGAAAGAGACTTTTTTAAAAGAATAAAAGTTCTAAAGCCTTATTTATGTGCATGTGAGCCTGTAGGTCAATTTGATAAATGAGTCGCTAGTCGTTTTCGTATGTTCTACCACTGGTCAAGGCGAGGAACCTGACAATATGAAAGTATGTATATACATGTGTTAATTCAAGTAAATCCGAAGCTTTTATTGCTTCTTGATACAATGAATATATATATATACAACTTAAATTTGTCTCGTAGAAATTCTGGAAATTTCTATTGCGAAAAAATTTACCCAACGATATCCTGAGTCATTTGAAATTTACCGTTTTTGGACTTGGCGATTCCTCATATTTGAGGTGCGTCCAACATTGAAATGACGCGATATGTGAGAGAGAATAAATTAAAAATCTTGTTTTTACCGTATTAAAGGTATAATTGGCCCGCCAAAAAACTTTACAAACGTCTTTTACAGTTAGGCGCCCAAAGTATACATCCACGTGGCGATGGAGATGATCAACATTATCTTGGGTTAGTTTTCTAAATATCCACGTGTCTTGTTAAGAAAGCTAATTTTATTAATCTTAGATTTATTATGCATGGATTTATGCATGGATTTAACAGTTATGATGGAGCACTTGATCCTTGGCTGTCAGGATTATGGGAAATTTTAATGAATGAATTTCCGTTACCTTCTGGAATGGAAATTATACCTCCAGATGTATTATATCCTTTACCATCGCTCACACATACATAATATTAAATTTATGTATTTCATTATTTTATTGATCCTTAACTATCTTACACGTTGCCCCCAAGTTTCAGGATTCAATTCATAAAAGATGATTCCAGTAATAGCTTATCGTTAAATAAAGAGATCATTAGTGATGGAGAATTCTTTGCGCGTATTCTAAAGAATGAAAGAATTACGTCTCATGATCATTTTCAGGATGTTAGGCATATGGAATTGGAATTTGATATCGATGATGTTAATGTTAATGATCTAGCATTAAAGTAAGCAATATTAATTAACATACAATTTTGATTATATTATGATAAACGAAGCTGTAAATAACGCGTGCTAGTTATAAACCAGGAGATGTTGTTGTGATCAGACCTAAAAATTTGTCTGAAGAAGTAGAAGAATTTATTCAAATGATGGATTGGGTAGATATCGCAGACGACGCATTTACCTTGATCCCAAATCAAGAAAGTAAGTTTTATATTTGTTTTTATTCTAAATACGAATTCCCCAAGTTAAAAGTAAATATTTGATTGGCTTGTTACAGGCCGCAAAGTACCAGTGCATTGGGATCAAGTGCTTACATTACGGAAATTGTTTGAAAATCACCTTGATATTTTCAGCACTCCACGAAGATCCTTTTTTGAAATGTTGGCATTCTTCACTACAAATGAAAATCATACCGAAAAATTAAGAGAATTTTGTAGTCCGGAAGGGCAGGTAACAAATATTTCTGAACCATTAAACATTATAGTTCGTAAATATAATAATAAATTTATTAATAGGATGATTTATACGCGTATAATCAACGAGTCCGACGCACAATTGCAGAAGTTCTTCAAGATTTTCCATCGGCCAAAATACCGTATGATTATATTTTAGACATATTTCCAGAAATACAGCCTCGTCAATTTTCAATATCATCGTCTTCACAATCTTATCCACGATGCATTCATTTAACTGTCGCCGTTGTAAAATATAAAACGCGAATGCAAAAACCACGATGTGGTGTATGTACCAAATGGTTGGCAGGTTTAATGACAGGTGATTATTATTTGGGCCCATCTTCGAAAATAAGCGCTCCTCATCAAATTCCTCTATTTTTTCATTGACAATAGATTCTCGAATTCCATTAAAGATATCAAAAGGTTCAATGCGACTACCCACATCTTTATCTACTCCAATTATGTTAATAGGACCAGGTAGATATTATGAGATTGCACGTTAAAAGTTTTTACCATTTTTGTGACCAATCATGTGACCAATCAACAGGTACAGGAGTTGCAGTCATGCGTGCTTTTATTCAAGAGCGTATATTACAAGGCGCAACAGGTATTAATTTAAAATTCAACACGCTTTTACCGACTATTCGGATGTTTAATTCAATAATGACTTTTCAAAGAAAATTATCTTTTTTTTGGATGTCGATACCGTGAAAAGGATTATTTCTATAAATCAGAATGGGAAGAGTATATAGATGCGCAGCAACTTAAAATATTCACTGCCTTCTCAAGAGATCAGGTGTGTTGGCTACTTTCAAAAAAAAACTTATGGTTTCATTAATCGGGTAACTAATGGGCTACCTTTTCATAACAGGACAAAAAGATTTATGTGCAAGATTTGATCACTGAGAATGCTCATTTGATTTGGGATATCATACATGCACGTGAAGGATGTGTTTATTTGTCTGGGTAATTTATTCAAAAAGTTTAGTAATTCCTGTGTTTATTAATATTCCATTATATATACATTTGCTAATTGTGACTAATTTACAGAAGGTCAGATAGTATGCCAACATCTGTTGTAAATGCATTCAAGCAGGTATTCATATCAGAGGGAAATTTGGATGAAGAAAAAGCCAACAAGTATTTTGACAAGTTGGAAAGAAGCAAGAGATTTCAACAAGAGTGCTATTAATTATAATATTTGATCAAACATTTAAAAAATCATATAATTTAATTTTTGAATTTATAATATTAATTATAAAAAGATAAAATTTGGAGAATTGTTATAATTATTATTCGCATTATAAATATCACATTATTATCATATGGCTAAAAAACTACAAGATATTCTATATTATTAATATTACAATTTAAAAGATTTCCAAATAAGATTTGTATATCAAAGCATTTTTTATGAAAATTCATAATTTTTAATTGGCTTTGACTCTTTGAATTAATAATATCATAACTTAATCATTATAAGTATGTTATTTTATAATTAATTAAGATTTTATTATAATTAACTCATTTTTTTTATCTTAAATTTAGTCTTTTATTTTTAATTTAGAATAATTACATAAATAACATATAAATATTTTAAATTTTAATAATAATAATAATAATATGTATAATTTAACTATTTTCAAAGCTTGCTTATTTCAAATTAAATTAAGTAAATATAATTTTTAAGATCTTGTTTAATTATTATTATATTAACTTGCATATTTATTTCATAAGTAATTAATTTAACTTGAACATCAATTAAAATTAGTTATAAATAAATATAAAAAACTCATTTTTTTAATTATCATACTTCTGAAAAATGTTAAAATTATATCTAAAAGTTAAGTAATATATATTTATTTTGATAATAAGCTAAACTAATATTAGATAATTTTATTAAGTTATAATATAATTTTTATAAATTATAATATAATAAATTTTTCAAATATTTTAATTATAAATCAAATATAAATAATTTATTAATAAATAATTTATCTTTTAAAATCAAAATTAATAACAATTTTCTTAACTTAAAAGTTAATTATTTACAAATAATATTTTATAAAACTAATATTTAATAAAATATAAGTAAATACATAATTATTTAATAATATTATAATATAAATTGTGTTTAATAAAATATAAAATAATTAATATAATAAAAGTTTATCTTATAATAATATAATTATATAATAAAAAGCTAAAAATATAATTAGATTTTGTACAAGAAGAACAATATTATAATATATAAATAAAAAATTTAATTTGATAATTAAACAAAAAAAATTAATATAATTATTCAAATTGTAAAACAAAAATATCAAAATATATATAATAATATCAAGTTATTAATTTTGAATAAATAAAGATTTTTATTTAATAATGATTTTTATTTAATAATTTATTGGATTACATATCTCAAAATTGATTATTAAATATAATTTAATTATTATTAACTTTATTAAAATTTTTATTTATAATAATTCTAACTTTAGCTTTAATAATCTGAATTTATATAAAATATATATTTGAAATAAGTCTGATTATATTAGTAATTAAATATTTTTAACATACTTTAAAATAATAATTATATTATTAATTATAAAAGTTAGATTAAGTTTATTAATTAAATAAAATTATTAATAAATAATTAAAAATTTTTATTTAAGTAATTTTGTTTTTGTTTTTAATAATAAATAATAAGATTAATATAATTACTTTAATTATAATTATAATATTATAATATATTATATTCAAAAAAGTTACTTATATTTAAAAAAATATTTTTAATTTTTACAATTTTAATTTATTTTAATTATTTTATAATAAATATTTATTTTGCTATAATAACTATAAACTATAATTCTAAGTAAAAATTATAAATATAAATTACAAATTGATATAAGATAATTACTATTATAATAAATTTAATAGATATAAAATAAAGATATTTTAATTTATATTAAATATTATAATTTATACTTATAAATAAAATTGTAGTTTGTTTTAATCTATAAATTAATATATGATATTATATACTACTTTCAAATTAACTCAAATCAGATTCAAACTTATATAATTATTTAGTTCAAGTTCAATTTGAACTTTGAATTTTTCTTGAATTCAAGTCAAAGTTTAATTTGAGTTCAATTCAGATTTTGAATCAGACTCAAATTTAAATAAAAGTCTGATTTGATTTAATTTATATAAATACTAATATTAATAATTATATTATTAGTTTTAAAAATTATATTAAGTTTATTAATTAAATAAAATTATTGATAAATAATCAAACAATTTTATTTGAAAAACTTTTATTTTTGTTTTTTAATAATAATTATTTTAATTATAATTATATTATATTATATAATAATAAGTTTTATAGTCTTTAATATAAACAAATATAATAAAACTCAATTTATAAATATCTCTTGGCTTTATAACTTACTGATTCTTTTTTTAATATTGTCATCATTTGATATTTTGAATTATATATAAAATATTATATAATATAATTTTGATAATTATTTATATTTTTATTTATATTTTTTTATAATTTTATTTTTAATTGTTTAAATTATTTAATTTACATATAATTTATCAAAATATCAATTAATTCTTTTAAAATTATATTATTTATTAATTTATTTTATCATTATAATATTATTGAATCTAAATTCATTTTATTTTAAATTAATTTTTGTTTAATATTAATTAATATAATACTAATTTAAATTGTATTACTTAAATTATACTTATTATTTCTTGATATTATACTTTTTCTAAATTAATCTTATAATTGTTTTTAAGTAATATTACTTATTATATTGATCTATATTATATTTACATATATTTAAATAGATATAATTTAATATAGAACAACAAGTAACTTTAAAAGCAATTTTGAGAAATAAGATGTAAAATGACTTGAAAATAATCAAATAATAAAAGTATAAAAATTAACTAATACTTCTAAATAATCTTTTATTTATTATTATTTTTAATTTATTATTTATTTAACTTTGACTTATCCAACTAGTGAAAGTTATCTTTTGTATTTTAATAATTATTTGCACTTTTGAATTATAAATATTTGTTTAATTAATAGAAATATTAGAATTTATTTTTTTTATACTCTCTTCCAATTATTTAGTATTCAACTCTTTCAAGTACATATAGTCACTATTATCATTTTTATATAATTCTTAATTAAATACTATAATTAGTTTATATTTTGCTTATCTATATAAGAATAATTATAATACAAATATTATAATCTCTATATATTTGACTTCAAGATTTTAAGAACACTTTCTAATTGTTCAAATTATTGTATTAAAGAACATAATTATTATCAAATTTTAAGTGATTTTGTTATTAGTACTTTTAGTACTTATTTGCATTTAGTCTAATATTATTAATACTTTAAATTATTATTAAGACATTAAAAATTCTTTTTGAATATTTCAAAAATAATAATAATATATACTTATTTGAGCATTTTTTCAAGTTATAATTTTCAAGTTTCAGAATCAAGAGATCTTTTTTGAATTTTTTTTGAATATTTCTTTAATAAGTTTTTCTTTTTTTTGGATTATTATAAGGAAAATTATTATTGATTACTGATTTATTGATTGTAATAAATAATCCAAATAATTTTTCTAAGTTGATCAAATCTTTTATTTAATTTCATTGAATATAGATTCAAGAATAAATATTATTATTAAATTTTAAAACAGGTTGACAATCAATTGTCAACTGAGAATTGATTATTATTGATTAAAAAAAATTGATGGTAATCAATTTTTTTATTAATTAATTGCCAACCAAAATCAATTATTATCAATTTTTTGGTTGGCAATTAATTGATATCAATAATAGATATTAATCAATACTAATTTTGATTACTGATTATTGATTATATTATAATAATAATGGATTACAAATAATAGTAATTATATGATTAATGACTAGTGGAACAAATAATATGATCTGTAATTATTAAATCAGAATTTGATTGGTTAATTATGAATTATATTTTGTTATTTTATTGATTACTATAATGAATCGCTTAATAAATAATCATGTTTTATAATAACTACATGATTTTTTTGATCTATTTAAATTTTGTTTGTTTTTTGGAATCAAAAATAGAACAAGTCATGTGTTTTATAAAATATATAAGCATCTTTACTAAGAAGTAAATATAAAATTTAATTCATGAATATGTTCAAAAAGAGTCGATTCTATTATATTTATGGATTAAATTTTATATTTACTTCTCAGTAAAGAAGTTTATACATTTTATAAAATACAAACATTTGATGATTTTAGATTACCGATACGTACATTATCGTTATCTATCACTATCGCTATGCGAATGTTACGGTCATCCAGCACGATAACGATAATACATAATTGTATTGTCGTTATTTTATTTGAGAATTAGTACGTTCAATCAATGAATACGTACTCTTTTATTATAAGATATAATACAAATTTTTATACTCGTTCCCCGAAAAAATACAAAAGTGTAAGTCTATTTTTATATGCACCGGCATAATTCCAAAAAGAAAAATTCATAGTAACGCGTCGCTAGCGAAACGTGCTACTAAAGCTAAATCTATATAAATAATAAAAATATATTTAAAAAATAAATACAAAATAAAAATGAAAGTTTTTTTCTCTAAAAACTATAATTACAAGTATTAAAGAGAAGGGAAATTAAAAAAAGAGCATAATTATTATGCAAAATTTATACAGAAGGGATTGGTATTAATAAAAGTCTATAATATATAGTAGCATTAAAGAAAATTCTGAGAAACGGCTAGTCCAGCCAGACGCAAACAAAGAAATGAACCCGCCCGGGGAATATTAACATTATGGTTTTTGACCCCTTTCTACCTTGTTCAAAGCCTTTTTCTCTCTTCATTTTTTCACTTCCAGATTTTTAGAACCAAATTCTATTGTTTGTAATTAATGATTTGTAAAGTATCATAATCAACCCGGTGTCCACGATTCGACGAACCAGCAATAAGATTACTAGGCCGATTTGAAAAAGAATTACGTCGGGGTGAAGTCGATGCTTTAACACTTCGCATTGACGACGTGTCATTCTGCGAAGTAGCATCATTATAGCTTGGTGGTGATATCGTGATCAGGGTGTGCAAATCGACATTGTGTCGTTCTTCGCGTGGTGAGATTTGTGCTGCTGGTATTGGTGTTAGCGCAGTGTAATCGTATATAGGGAATGCGACCATTGTTGTGTCGGAGCTTTGGTGGCGTAGAGTTGGTGTTTGTGAGAGTCGTACATTTGGTAATGTTATGACAAGAAATTCCTGATAAATGAGAGAAATAATCTATTTTAGATAGAATAAGAATAAGAAAAGTAGAAAGAACAGAAGTTTACCTCGGCGAAATCATCATTTTCTGTCCTGTGACTTTGGAAACGCCAAGAAACTCCTATTTGTGGCGTATCCTGTTCATTAAATGTAGCGATTAAATCTTTGGTATCTTTCAATAACTACGTATAAAGTATGCAAGATAAATTATTAGCATATAAATATTTAATTTCCTATATCGAATAATAAAAAAGACACATACTCTGGTCTTTAATCGCTTGCTCAACATCCACATCCATGATAAACTAATAATCGCAACAACCGGCATCAACGCCAATAACCAAACAAAATTCACCTTACTCGGCTTATCGTTCATGTCATTCTGTTGCTTCAGTATAAAAAGCGGCACGATGATTGACATTGCGATGATGGCGAACAAATGTGGTGGAATGCATGCCATGCAGGAACGATGGCGATGTTTCGTACACAGTCTGTTGTAAGAGTCGACACGTTGATTGTATTTAGCTGGTGTTAACTATGTTTATTAGTGGAATGATGCATTCATTTCAGAAATGGTGTTTCATATTTAAGGCAAAAACGATTATTTGATTGGATGAATGAAATGCACACGCATGTACGTGTGTGATGTGACGATACTATGCTATAATTGGGTAATCTAATTAATACATGTGCATTTTGAATTCTTGTACTTACATATCCATATAACTCAGATGGAAATCCTTCGCGAGTAATTCGTCCATATTCGATCGGTAATCGAACTTCCGAAAAACAAGCCATTATACTGTTGTTATTATTGTCGTTGTTTTTGTATCAGTTAATAATCTCGTTAAACACCACACTCTCTTTCGTTAAAAAGTTTTTTTGGTGTGATGTCAAATTTATAAAATTGATTAAAATAAAATTACGTTTCTATACTTGAGAAATTAAGAAATTCTATCGTAAGAGAAAAATTAAATGTATTTAGAATTTTTGGTTAAAATCTTGGAAAAGAGAAAAAAGAATTAAAAAAACAATTCAAAGTCGTAATTTAAGCAGATAAACAGTTTCATATGTTAAGAATAAAGTGACTTTTTAGGTTGTGAATTAAATTGGTCGAGGTTTCAAAAGATGCAATATTATTTACTAAATTGAATGAAATAAATAACAAACACGCGTGCCGCCTGGGTACTAGTGATAATGTTATCTATATTAATTACTACTAAAGCAATCTCAATCAATCAACCCTCTTCTTCGAAGAAGAAAAACACACACCAGAAATTTATAAGTAGACCAAGGAAGAAGGGGAAGGAGAAAAAGGGAAGATGATGGGAAGAGAAGAGAGATCTATAATTTGAATGAAGATTAACGTTTTTATATTATTTTTGTGTGTGAATAATAAAGAGGTGTAATTTGGACAAATCGGTCGGTTCAGTTATTGCATGTATCGGTATCACGTTTAGCACAGCACACATTATAACCCCTCCCCCCCCCCCGAACCTTGATCTATTATAAAACTGAGTTTTAAAGTTTTTTGCTTTTGATTTTGTGTATTTTTAGATTTCTTTTATTGATCAAGCACTTAATTTCAGATTTTATTTAGCATTGCTTTCATTGCAATTTCCTAAAAGTTTAGCTAGTCCACTTTCTTTTGTATGATAGAACCCTAAATTTGGGGAGTAAAAGGTAAAGATAGAAGATAGAAGAAAAATCATTTAAACTATCATTATTGGCTAAAATACGTGGAACAAAGTCGTAATACGTATCGGTATCGGTATGCACAAAAGCCAGGGTTTTGCAGCTAAATAAATAAATAATTCCTATATTAGAATATTATCGTTATACATGTACAATATTGATATCGTATCGACAATCCGTTTCATAGTTTTCAAGTTTCTAAAAAATATTTTTAGAAACAAATAATTATTTTTATTGTTATCGTTATTGTTAATTACAATATTAATTGTCGCGATAATAAACTCTCTTAACTCGCCAATGTAATATAACTAGTAAGCTTGATAAGCAAATTGGAAGCTGTTTGCGCTGTCTATATCATTCATGATGTGTGGTAGATACAAAATTAATGTATCAGTTAAGTCACAGTCACACAATTATTGTTTGTTCTAACATTCTCCTGAAAATCAATGATAAATTTATTGAAAGATTTTGGATTTTCATGCATTAACTTTTTATAGAATACTTCTGCACTTGGATACATGCGTCATGATTTCCTCTCAAAAATATGTCATAGTTTTTCCGTCATCCTTTCCAAGCGTCATCGTAGCTTCATCACTACTACATCATCGTCATTACGATCAACGAATTTATTTTACCTCATCAGCATAGAAATTTTCTAGTATAAAAGAACAAAACCAATTCTCAGTTTCAGGTAAAAATAACTAATAATGAAGACGAAAAAAAGATTATTTAAACTAAAATTTAAACGTTTCAAGCGAAAACTTAAGAAGGTAAATTCAATGATGAAAGTAAATTCGATAATACCAACATGAACTATAATTAACTCTTTCCTTAATAAAAAAGGCTTTCAGATGTACCTAATTTTTTTAACGTGGCTTCGTCCTCATGTTGTCGAACCCTCAGACATTTTTTGTCAGCAAAGAACATTTGAAATTACACTTTCTATGCATAACCAAAATATTTGTCATCAAGAAACATAAATTTACCTTTTTTTTTCATAAAGACGGATAATATTGCAATTTGCCAAAAAATTTTCTCTTTTATATAACAAACGAATGATCTTTCGCTATAAAGTTTAGAAAATCCACGCAAAAGTTTAAGAATTCCAAAGAACCATGCAATAGCTTAAAGATAACTTCATATGAATTATTATTTGCTTCCATTTTTTACCACACCGTTTATTCACACTAGTCGTTTTATTAAAATGATGGCTGTATTTAACAACCTAAACGTTGCCACAAAACAATAGCAACAACAGCAATAATATTACTACAAGGAGTCATGCACCAGCAGAAACACTAGAAATAACGGAATTAAGTGCAAAGACCCATGTCATTGAAACTTGCGTATATCATTTCGTTTAATATGTATACATAGTCACCCTACTTTATAGTATACAGTATCTATTAATAAAACCCACTACTACAATACATGTATATCGAACAGTTAATTTAAATATTAATCCACTATTGCTATCGCTATACCGAAATTTTAATTAGCGTTAGTCTGTAAATCTGCTGACTCTACTGATGAATATAAAAAAGTTTCAAAATATAATTCGTATGGGCTGAGATTTTGCCCATTTTTGGCTGGAGTTAAATCGGTTGTGAATCAAATCCGCCTATATTGATATGCTTTTATTTTCAATAGCTTGGTACCGCAATTTTGAATTAAAAGGTGCCAAATTTATAATTATATGAATCATGTGATCATGGTGCCAAATTTAAATTTTACAACAAAAATTCACGCTCACGTGATCACAGAAAATTAACATTAAAGGCTATCTTATCATTCGGATTAGGGTAAAAATTCGAGTGGAGGACAAGATTATACGTAAAATTGTCTTTCCAACATTTTTTATTAATACTTCAAGCCAAATTTTGACATCTGTTTTCCGTATTTTTTTACATTATTCGCTTTTTTCATTTTCTTATATTAGATTTGTTGAGCAAAAATTTGCGCATTCTTATTGGATTACATCATATTATGCTCACGTGCACATGAATTTTTTGTTGGCGATGCTGAGAAAGTTCTATCTTCCTCAAAATTATGGGTGCCAAATTTTACATACAATATATAATATATATATATATATATAACATCACTTAGTTTAAACTCTTATTTCTCTTGAATCGCTTATTAGATTCTCAAAACTCTTCATTAGTTTGAATTTCATGTTATGAATAATATAAAAATGAAGAGATTCAAATAAAAAATAAAAAAGTAGTTTATTCTTTTTAATAACAAATTAAAAATTTGCTGTGTTAGGGAGTACGAGCCAATACAGTGGGGGACAGCAAGACACATCCATTTTACCTTTCCCTTATGCATGTAGTTCGATGAGGGAATAGCCGATTTTTTTTGTACAACCTTACCTCATCGAACTACATGCTCGGCATGGGAAAGGTGTCCCCACCGTATATACAAATTACATGTATTTATTTTGAATTATATATAGCAAAAACAATTCGTTGTTATAAAATTAAGAGTTTTATTTATCGTTATTGTGAACTGAAAATTAAAAAATATACTAAAAATTCATTTCTGAAGCTATATCGATATGGTGCATAAAACCTAAAGTCATCAAACGTTTGCATTTTATAAAATGTATAAACTTCGTTACTAAGAAGTAAATACAAAATTTAATCCGTGAATATGATAGAATAGCCTTCTCTGAGCATATTCACGGATTAAATTTTATATTTACTTCTTAGTAAAGAAGTTTATATATTTTATAAAATACAAACGTTTGATGACTTTAGATTTTATGCACCATATCGGTATTAGCAACTAGTAAGTTTAATCATGTTTCTTTAAATATATATTCGTTTAAATCAACAATTGTTTTATATATTCTTGGAACTGAAATAAACAATTAATAATAATGCGAAATATTCAAATTAATATTTTATTCCAACTTTTAATTCTGTTTTCGAATTTTGAAATAACTAATTATTTACACTTCTATATATGAGAACTATTAAGAGATATTTAAGAAATAAAATATAAATGAAAAAGTGTATGGAATTGAAATAGTGAATTGGTATGTGAATATTAATTCATGGAAGTAAAGAATTTCACAACTATTTCTTGATTGTATAATAAGCGTTCTGATTATTGCACTGGGATTTTGGTTATTTGTTCATTCTTGCTAAGGAGAGGCAATTACTATATAGAAAAGAAAAAATTTATCATCTCACACTTAAATTAACTGACAGAAAGTACGATATACACGGAAGAAAATAAAAAAAAGGTACACGCAAATTGATTAGAACTTGTTGACATACAGGTTTGAAATTCGGGAACCCAGCTAGATGATCGGTTGACGTTATGACGATTGATTAATTTGCACCTGTTGTTCTTGCACCTGTCTTTCTTTCTCGTTTCTTTTTTTGATCTTCAAACAATAAATACCCAATGCAGCGGCAGTCAAACCTATGGCAGAACCACTGCTAATGCCAATGATAGCACCTTTGTTACCAGTTGATGCTGATTTTTTGCTGCTACCCGAACTGCTGCCATTGTTTTTAGTGCTACCCGAACTGCTGCCATTGGTGCTAGTTGATGATGAGGTTTTGCTGCTACCCGAACTTTTGCCATTGTTTTTAGTGCTACCCGAGTTGCTGCCATTGTTTTTAGTACTGCTAGGATTCTTTACGGAGTAACCGTATTGTTGACATATAGAAAGAATAACATTGAAATCTACAAAGAAAGTGTAGTGATGAATGAGATGCTATAACTAATTATGAAAAATCGATAACAAACAACCGGAGTTACTTACTGGATGCTGAAACACCGGAAGAAGAGCAATAAGGACATCTGTAATGGTTTTAAACATGCATTGTATCACAAAACTCGAGCGCATATACTTAAGCATATACCATACTCCAAGTGTTCACATACCTCGCATACCCATTAATGAAATCCTGATTACACTCACACGGTGCGAGTATTTCATCCGATAGATATTCGAGTTGAGAAATATCAGTAGCGCCGGTGCAGATCAATATCGGACTGAACGCATCTGTACACACCTGGCAGTCATCGCTTTGAGTGTGCGCTACTGCTATCAAATACGCAAGGATGACAGTACATAGGAGATCAAATTTTATCATTTTTAGATTAGACGTGAAAGAATTTTGCGAACACAAAGGATAATAGATTAAGAAACGGTGCATTTGGTTGTTCAGAGCAACAAATTCTTTATATACAGTATCAGATGTGCGTTAGGGTACAATATCTGTTGTGCAGCTGCAATCAAACACGCAAGGATGGCAAGGATGGCAGTACAGGTAAAATTTATCATTTTTAAATTAGACGTGAAAAAATTTTGTGAACACAAAGGATAGTAGATTAAGAAACAGTGCATTTGATTGTTCAGAGCAACAAATACATTATATACAGTATCAGGTGTGCGTCAGGGCACCAATCAAACACGCAAGGATGGCAGTACATAGATCAAAATTTATCATTTTTAAATTAGACGTGAAAAAATTTTGTGAACACAAAGGATAGTAGATTAAGAAACGGCGAATTTGATTGTTCAGAGCAACAAATGTTTTATACGTACGTATACAGTCATGCATTACCCCAAAAAGTATCGCCCGATCCAGAATTAGATAATAAAACATGGAAATTTCAAGTTATGACATTTCTATTTAAAGCTATTTGGTTGTACAGTCGACTCTCGATATAACGACCATGCAGATCCTATTGTAGAATCTGCATGATCAGTTCTTTAAAAGTGGTTCTAGAACTGGTTCTGGAACCAGTTTTATTAGTTCTCAGTTCTTAATAATAATTTTAAAGCCAAGCAAAAACTGGTGTATCCAGCATCAATTGTTCTATCTTGGATATTGATACCAATTCTTGCAAGTGAAGATCTTGAAAAGATTTAACAAATTGTTCCAGTTGAAATTTTCATGATAATTTTTGTGTCAATCAAAATTGTTTGTTGAGAATATACAGTTAACACTTCTATATCAGAATAATACAAATCAAAATCTGCATCAGTATCATGTATTTGTTTGAATATAGTTTCTTCTTTATTGTTATTATAAACTTTGAGATAATAATTTATTTTCTTGATTTTTTTTCTTTATAAGTGTTATATTCATTTTTATTATCTTTAACCAATTGTTGAATTGACTGATAGATTTTTTCAAAGATTTGAGAAATATTTTTAATATCAATTGGCAATAATGATTGCATGTTATTTTGAAATATTTTCAGTATTTATTAAGTTTCATTAAATGAATTCAGATAATACCACCAAAAGGCAAGACAAACAAATTGCAGAGCTTGCAAAAAATAATATAACAGCGCCAGAAATTCAACGGGAAATGAAAAAGCGAGACGTTAACGTTAGTGTACGCACTATCCAACGACGTCTTGGTGAAAGTGGGGGTCGGTATTTCAATAAACTATCAAAACCTTTAATCGAAGAAAAGCACCGAAAAAAACGCCTGCAGTGGGCGAAGAAGCATAAGAATTTTGACTGGGACAATGTGATATTTTCAGATGAAAGTACCTTTCATCTGAATCAACGACTAAAAAAGACTTGGCAGTTTCCTGAAAAAAGAAAAGTGACACGTTCTGTAAAGCATCCGTTAAAGCTTCATGTTTGGGGTTGTTTTTCATCTTCGGGTTTTGGCAGGTTGGTCTGCTTCGGGTGTAATCTTAATGCGAAATTTATGATTACCGTATATGAAAGAGGTCTTCTGCCTTCTGTTGTGGAACTTTTTGGCGAAGATTGTGATGAGTGGATTCTGCAGGAGGATAATGATCCAAAACACCATTCGAAAATTGTGAAAAAATGGAAAGAAGAAAATGACGTTGAAGTTCTTCCCTGGCCGTCGATGTCACCCGACCAGAATCCAATTGAAAATGTCTGGGGGCTCATGAAAATGAATCTAGCAAAAAAAATTAGGTCAATTAGAGGTTTGAAGGGTGAGCTAGTAAAGGAATGGAATCGCTTACCTAAAGAATGCGGTTAATTTAGTTAGAAGTATGATAAGTCATGTGGAGGCTCTAATTGAATCTGAGGGCGGTTATACAGTGTATTAATTTTTCACATAATGACATGAACTTATAAAATAAAAAAAAATTTTTGACTTACTTCCATGACGAGTTAGAGGTGCGGGGATACTTTTGATGGGCACTGTATACTTTGTTGTAGAAATCGCATAATTACTGTATTAGTGGCTCAATACTTGGGCTAGGGTTGTTCGTTCACCTATGAGTTAATACACATTATATATCCGTGCATGACAAAATCTCTTACATCGAAAAAGAGTTCCTCTTTGTTCGTTGGATCGTGTAACACCAAAAGGAGTCAAAATTCG